CCAGCCCAGTCTCCCCTAAGACCTGCTTCGCACCCGAGGCACCTCTCCATTGCAGCAGGTGTGTATGTGGAGGTAGAAGCTTCCATTACAAGTCAAGGCTGTGCTGGTTCAGTGGTGGGTGTGGGATACAGCCCAGGTCTCTCTATCCATCTGTTCCTCTTTGTGTCTGACCAAGATTAGATCCAGTTGGGTAGGGACTGGTCATGTGATTTTATCATACTACTTAATTTTTAAAAAATCTCCACATTTGGAAGTTGCAGTGAGCCAAGATTGCGCCACTGCACCCCAGCCTGGCACCTGGCAATGGAGAGAGACTCTGTCTCAAAAAAAAAAACAAAAAAAAACCCCGCATTCTTCATTAAATGTTTTCACAGTTTTTGTGAAGGTCAGTGGCTTCCTCACCAGGAAATCTCTAATTCAGGCTTCCTTCAACAGTGGATTTAGGTCTGTACTGACGTATCTAAATGCAACCATCATGGGTCATTCCTCTACCCTCTCCCCATCCCCGGCCCTTTTACCGGGACCTGCCTGCCCCCACCTGCTCCCAAAGCTTGCATTTGCCAGACCACCGTCTTCTTGCCTTTCTGTTTCTGGCTCTTGTTTTCACATCCAACACACACCCACTCTCAACACTTCACCAGGCTCTCTTACTGGGAAGATCCATTGGGCCCACCTTTCTGGTTTAGCACCCAGCCTGCCCGCAGTGGGCCTGACCCCACCCTCGGCTGCTGTGACCACAGTGACTGTGGGTGGAGCTCTCATTACCTGCTCTCCCTGCCTTCAGGTCCTTCACACACCTCCCCCTCCATCCCCAGCCTGCCGAAACACAGATACAGAACGGATATTGAAGAAGTCCTGTGCAAACAGAAGTTTAAATAAAGCTAAGCAGTTCAGACAAGAGCTAATCCAAACCATCACAGGGGTGCATTTGTGTGGCGGCCAGATCAGTGCCAACACTAACATCCTTGGCTCCCTTGAATCCTGTGAATTCTGTCTGCAGAATGTGCTTACAAGGCTGGGAGACATCGGCCTGCTTCAGATCAGGAGCTGGCATGCCCTGGTTGCCCATGGCAACCCAGCTGCACGGGAGTGCTAGCGTTTGTAAATGTGTGTGGGCTTAAAATTATATTATTGATTCTGTCTGGAAGACGATAGTCTGATTTGTATATAGCTCTGAATAAATTACTCATTATCCTTTACAGCCATTGGAGTATGAACCTCTCTGTCTCCTTTTCTTCTTCTTCTTCTTCTTCTTCTTTTTTTTTTAGAGAGAGACAGCAAATTGTGTCAGCAGATGTGAAATGAAATGTTTCCCATAACAACCGTACTAGAGGAATCAACATCCAGGGCACCAGCCTGGAAAGTAGTCCAAGCATTACTGAATAAATAACAAATGGATTTGGGAGGGATGCAGCCTCTATCGGGTAGTCTATTCCAAAGGGAACATACGGTGTAGTCTGAATTACAGTGAGATGCAGCCAGGAATAGAGAGACAGGCAGCTCCACCCTGGACTCCATCAGTTCAACCTGAGCCCAGGCTTTCTCTTTTGTCTCTCCCATGTATGGTATATATTCAGGCGGACTGAATTATTGCCCAATTCCTCCTGCTCCTCGTATCCATGCTCTTTGCCCTATAACCCTGTGGATCCTTCCACAAAAGGCATCACGCATTGCCCTTGACTCTGGGCTTGGTGTTGTAGCTCGCTTTGACTAACTAGCAGAAATGGCAGGGTGCCAGTTGCAAGCCTACGTTTTAAAAGGTTTCAGGAGTTTCCCCTTGGCCTCCTGTCATTACTATGAGAAGCGCCTGCCTCTGGTAGGTTGTCACTTTAGCTGGGACCCAAATGAATACACATGGGAAAGAGTCAGCCCCATCAAAGCCAGCCAGATCGACAGCTCTAAGACCTACCCCAGCCTGGACAAGCCACTCCAGCCAAGCAGCAGATGCATGTGGAATGAATGTTCATCGCTGTAGGTCACCAGGATTTTGTAGGTGCTTGTTGTGCGGCAGCAGCTGAATCATAGAATCTTCCATTTTTCAACATCACGGTAATCTGTATCACTGACAATGGAAAAGACAAGAACAACATCCCTCAGCTCTCCATTTCCGCAGTCACCGATCACAGGCCTTACTGAGGGGGAATCCAGATCATGCGTTACAATTTCAACTCGTGTTGGGTCCTCACTGCGCACTGTGTCATCAAACACAGCATTGCCACCAGGAGCATTCTGGAGGCCAATGCAGCTAAAAAGCTCCAAGTAAATTGTAAGACTCTATCTCTACCACTGCTTTAGTGCCCATAAAAGTCTTATACAAAAATGGGCGGGATGACATTTGAATCGAGGAGGAAAAATGGCATTATACCTCCCAGAAGGGATTGCAAACGTTGCCTTCAATTCATCTTAAAATGAACACCTTTATCAGAATGCCAAACCCATGCTCCTTCTGACTTCCACATTTTCACTCTTCAGTCACGGTTCGTATTATACAAGAACGTTCAATCCATTTTCAACAGATATTTATTGAGAACCTGTTGTTGGCTGGGCCCTGGGAGCACCATGCTAGACACCAGGTTGAACAGAAAAAAAAAAAGTGGGTGAGATGTATCGTTAGGGAGGGTAAGAGTCAAGACTGACTCCCGGCTCCCGGCATCTGTCCTGAACAACTGGGTAGAGGGAGGTGCCGTCTTCTAAGCTGGAAACACTCGGGAAGCTGCTGATTTGGGAAATATACAAATTTCTGTTTGGAATATATCATGTCTGAGATGCTTCTGGCACATGAAAGTAGAGATGTCAAATGGACAGTTAAGTGTCCAGATATGGAGCTCAGAGGAGAGGTCAGGACTGAGGCTATCAATTTGGAGGGTTGCCAGCATGTGGATGCCATTTAAATCAACAGGGCTGGAGCCTGGGTGAGATTTTCTAAGCAGAGAGCACACATGGAGAAGAGGGCCCAGGAGGATATTCAGAGGAGAGGCAGAGAAGGAGTCAGGAAAGGGGCTGACAGGGGAGCAGCTGGAGAGGCAGGAGGAGCGCCAGCAGACTGTGCAGGCAGGCACTGGTGCTTGCCGTGCTGTGTCAGTTCACTTTGTGTTGCTATAAAGAAATACTTGAAACTGGGTAATTTATAGAGAAAAGACGTTTATTTGGCTCACAGTTTTGCAGCCTATAAGAGAAGTGTGGTGCTGGCATTTGCTTCTGGTGAGACCTCAGGAAGCTTACAATCATAGTAGAAGGCAAAGGGGAAGCAGGCATGTCCGATGGTGAAAGAGGGAGCAAGAGAGAGAGAGTAGGAAGAGGCGCCAGGCTCCTTTACACAACCAGCTCCCATGGGGATGAGCAGAGCAAGAACTCACTCATTATCAAGCCATTCTGAGGGATCCAGCCCCATGACCCAGACCCCTCCCACTAGGCCCAACCACCAACACCGGGGATCACATTTCAGCTTGGGTTTGGAGGGGACAAACATCCAAACCACAGTACAAGCTTTTCCACCCGCAGCCATTCTGCCCATCTTTCCCTGGGTGACACAACTCTGCCTTCAAGCAGGTGTTTGGGGTCATGCCCTTCATGAAAGGAGGGGCTTCTCCCTCATCCCAGGGGGTGAATGAAACAGCCTGAGACAAGCATGGTAACCCACTCCCCTCTCTGATTTGGGTGTAGTCATAAGCGTTTGACACAACATTGGCCAATTAGACAAAGTCTACTGGGTGACTTTTGGGGTTAGAGTTCTCTGTTCTTAAAAAGTGGAAAAAAAAAAAAAAGGAGAAAGCAGAGTTTCACTTCCGCCTCACCTCAGAGGGGCTTCTGTGTGGAGGTGCTGCAGAACCTTGCAACCAGCATGAACGTGAGGACTAAAGCCCATGCAATGAGGACAGAATGAATACTCCATTTAAATTCCATGTTGAATTACCCAGCTTTGGAGAATTCTCTACCACCTAGTTTATGTTGTAAGTAAGTAATTTTGTAAATGTGTAGGCATTATGGGTCTTCTATGACTTTCAGCCAAAAGCATCTTAAATGGCACTTGTGATTTCAAGTCTACCTGTTAACTCGATGGTGAACCTATAATGTAATGGTTTCTTTTATCTTATTTGGGGAAATAGCAATTACCCAATCTGTTAAGTATATGGTTTGTCAATTTTAACATTAACCTAATAGTATGTTTATAATTTGTTTCTTTCAACAGTCAAAAAACAAATTATTCTGCCAAGCAAGGAGCATGTTTTAGCTTAGTCACCAAAGAAGAAACAGACCACTTTTTATTATGACATTTCATCAACACTTGGCAAGTAAGAAAGATGGATTGAAAGAATGCATTGGAAATATTCTAGAGGTATTTTCCTGCTAACATGGAAATAAAAAGTTTCAATGTGAGAAGAAAAAATAGATTCCTAATGGTCAAGAGAACAAGAAATTAGATAGAAACTTAAATATAAAGTACCCGGAAGTCACAGTGTTTGAAATGACACTTAGCGCCTTAATTAACCAGATTTTAAGATAACGATGCTAGAGTCTGTATCTTCAATGGTTTGGGATGCCCTTACAGCTCTTTGAATAATGTTCTCTTTATTCAATTAATGCTTCTGAAAGAGCTTTAATTTTACATTAATCAAAAGCCCTCGTGATATTCTCAGGATGTACTCAAATTCAAGAGTTTTTTTAAAGTGCAATTAAGTTATCAAGGCAGAGGCTCTGATTACAAGGACAAAAATTCCATAGCAACAGCCCATTCAACACACTGAGCCCGATGCACTGCTGTACACCCTTGTTTGTGCTAGGCTGTGGGGGCGGTGGTCAGGCTTCCCAGTGAACGGGACCGATCTCCCTCTACCTTCTTCCTGAGAAGCCAAAGACTGCTTCTTTGACAACATAAACAGTTACCTTATACCACTCATTTTTACAGCAAACAACTCTCTGCCTGCAAGCCAAGCTAATGGAATTTTAACGAATTCTATGAGGTTTTTAAAAAGCAAGAACTGAAAATAGCTTTTTCTTACCTGTTAACATGAGAGGTTTCTAACATGCCCAAAGCAGAACTTCTTCCTCTCCAGTTCATGGTATCAGACAGCAAGAATTCCCAAGTTCTTCTTTACTGATTAGAATTGTGTCCACTCAGTCCCGTGGAGCAATCACTAATGATCAGAAAGATGTCTTGGGAAGAAAACTGTGCTGTTTTATGCTAGGAGCAGCTGATGCTGATGAGATCTACTCACGGTGGAGGTTCAGCTTCCACTGTCCCTGCCAGGGTTTGTTACTGGAGTATTAGGGTAGGTTCTTCCTTTCTCCACTCCTCCCAGGTATGTGAATCCTATCACCTGTGAAGGTTATTGGTGCTCCTGTGAAGTTGACGGTGGGGGGGTAGTGACAAAGAGGAAAATAACTCTGGTATTAAACATGCTCTCTTACCATCTTGCCCAGCCAGAGTGCAATCAATAATATTGCTAAGCTACATTTGGGTTTCACCTGCCATCCAAGACTGAACCCTTATTATCTAGTTCCATCCCTCCCCAACCTTCCTTATCTCAGATGCTAACTCAGTTTTTCCAATTGCTTAGGGCAAAAGTTTGGAGTCTTCTCCCTCCCCTTTCTCTTGCTGGGGGACTCAGCAAGTCTCTTAGGCTCTACCTCCACAGTAGTATATCCATCCGAACTCACCACGCCTCACTTTCTTTCCCAGTCCCTCCCAGCACACCCACCCCTGACTCTCACCTGGGCTTTGCAGTAGCCTCCTAAGTGGTCTCCCTCTTTCCATTTCCACCTCCCAACAATATATCCCATGTAGGGAGTGATCTTTTTAAAACAAAAGTTGGATAGTGTCAGTTCCCTACTCAAAACCCTGCCATATTTCTTCTTTCATTCAAAGTAAAGTCCTAACTCAGAGGCACACCCTGGTCTGTTCTTCTACCTGCAGACCTCACCTACCACCAGTCTCCCTCAAATCTCTGGAGCCACATTGACGTGCTCTTAGGACATGCAGGGTTCCTGTGCTTGTTCCCGCCGCCTGGAAGGCTCTTCCCTAAATGGTCCCAAGATTCTCCCCTCCTCCCACACTCCCCTAGGAATGAGCTCAGTGCCATTTTATGGGGGAGGTCTTCTCCTACCGCCCTCCCTAAAATAACAGCTTCTCAGTCCCCCTGATCCCCTTAGCTTGCTGTAGTTTTCTTTATGCTTCTGAACTCAACACTGTGATACATAGTTACATGGCAGAGTTATATGAAATACATGTTTGCATTACATTCATTTTATGTTTTTCCTCATACTTCCATACTTGTAGTTATAGCATATATTTGTTTATTAATTTATCAATTTTCTCCCTTCAGCATATTAGCTCCATAAATGTACATTTATCCTTTTTCCTGAGGAATGCTTAGAGCCTAGAGCTGTGCCTAACACAGATAAAGAATGAACTGGCACTTCCCAGTTTGCCAATGACTTCCAAATACTTCATCTACTTAATCCTTGCAATAACTGCAGTAGGGTTGTAATCCTTACCTACATAGGAAGAAAAAAGTTCAGATAAGACATGATGCATGTGAGATTTCATAATCAGTAAGCAACACAGCCGTTTTTCTGTTTGGAGATGGGCCAGTCCTCAAGTGCAGGGTCCCTTGAACTTCACAACAATGACCTCTCCCAGCCTTTAAAAAAAAAAAGGATAGTGATGCTCCAGTTTTAAATACTACATGTGAGGTATCATCCAGTACAGAACTTTGATATCAATTCCTCCAGATAAAGTTCCCTGGGGTGGACATCTGTGGAGTTCTGTTTGGGTTTGTTTATTCTGCCCAGTAGCTTCATTACCCTTGTTCGGCTCACAGGAACTCTCTCCTGTCAAAGCCCCTTCCATTCACATAGGTGGAGCCGACTTTGCTCTGTCTCATTCCCTCCCCAACTTAGATTACCACCACTGTTCATCGGTTAGTGTGCTGAACATCTTCTCAGCTCTCCCTTTGTGTAAAGACGTTCAATTTTACATAAATGAGATCATACCATCTTGTAACCTGGTTTTTTCACTTAGCAAGATATCTAGACTGTGTTTCTGTATCAATAAAAACAGACCTAAATGTGCGCATGACATTTCCTTCTGAATTTCCTTAACAGTTCCCTGTCCACAAGCATAACGGGTTGTTGACATCTTCCCGGGGTTTATATAGTGCTTTGCGTAGGGCCCTAAAAAGTTAAAAGAAAAAAACTAAAGAACGGGCTTAGCTGGGGTAAAAAGGAACAAATATTCTGAGAAATGGGGTCAAACGCAAAAGGGGCCAGCACTCAGGCATCCTGCAACACGCACTCAGCTCACAGCCCACCTGTGCCCCAGCATCTTGTCCACAAGCACCAGCCTCCTTACACAACTCCCTCCAGGCCCTGCCTCTTGGCAGACAGACTTCTTTCTGCTTTCTTTTCCATTGTATCCTTGCAACATACCTCCCCTTTGTGTAATAAACCTGCCTTTCTAGGCCGGGCAAGGTGGCTCACGCCTGTAATCCCAGGACTTTGGGAGGCCGAGCCGGGTGGGTCATGAGGTCAAGAGATCGAGACCATCCTGACCAACATGGTGAAACCCTGTCTCTACCAAAAATACAACAAATTAGCTGGGTGTGATGGTGTGTGCCTGTAATCCCAGCTACTCAGGAGGCTGAGGCAGGAGAATTGCTTGAAACCGGAAAATGGAAGTTGCAGTGAGCCGGGACCACTGCACTCCAGCCTGGCATTAAATTGAGACTCAGTCTCAAAAACAAACAAACAAACAAACAAACAAACAAACAAACAAAAATAAAAAAAAACCTGGCTTTCTAAACTCATTCCTGTCTTGATAAATTATTTTACTCCCATGTACCAGCCTCAGACAATCACTGACCATGACGCGTTGATGAATAATCACAACAAAAACCAATATGTAACTTTTTCCCTTTGTGCAAAGATGTCATTAGTGTTTATTTATGAAAATGGAACTCTGAAACATATCGCCAAACTGTCCCTTGGAAATATTGTACCCAATTTACACTTTGTTATGAGTTGAATTGTGTTCCTCAAAAAGATATGTTGCATTTCCAACCTCCAGAATCTGTTAATGCCACTTTATTTGGGAATAGGGTCTTTGCAGATGTAATCAAGTTAAGAGAAAGTCATGAGGGATTAGAGTGGATTATAATCCAGTATGAGTGGAGTGCTTATAAGAAGAAGAGACTTTGGACACAGACACAGAAGGATGATGGAGAATGCCATGTATCAACGGAGGCAGAGATTAGAGTGAGAAATCTACAAACCAAGCAATGCCAGTGCTACCAGAAGCTGGAAGAAGCAGAGGAGGATCTTTCCTTACAAGCTTCAGAGGGGCATCCCTGCCAAACAGCTTGGTTTCTGACTTCTAATCCCTAGAATAATGAGATAATACATTTATGTTATTTTAAGCCACCTAGTTTGCAGTGCTTTGATACAGAGACTCTGGGAGATTCATACACACCCCATGCATGCACAAGCGTGCCCTTTCCCACCCTTGCTGACACTGGGTCATCTTTGCCGATGTGGCAAACCATTGTCCATTTTTCCATTGAGGCATTTGTTATTTTGTTATTGATTTACAAGTACTATTACTAATATTTGCATAGATAATACTACTATTGCTGCTTTTTATATATGACGCAAATACCTTTTCAGTTATTTGTCTCCTAAACGTTTTTACAGTTACAATTTTTTTGGTGGGGAGGAGGATGTCTTTTTAGTTTGTTTTAGCCACACTTTAATTTTAAGTAGACAAATTTATTAGTCTCTTTATTTAAGTTTCTGGTTCTTACAGCATGCTTGGAAAAGGCTTTCCTTAGCCACAGATTTTCTTTAAAAAAATTATCCTTTATAGGAGAATGATTTATAATCTTTTGGGTATATACCCAGTAATGAGATTGCTGGATCAAATGATATTTCTGGTTCTAGATCCTTGAGGAATCACCACACTGTCTTCCACAATGGTTGAACACGTATGTTTATTGCAGCACTATTTACAATAGCAAAGACTTGGGAACAGCCCAAATGCCCATCAATGATAGACTGGATAAAGAAAATGTGGCACATATACACCACGGAATACTATGCAGCCATAAAAAAGAATGAGTTCATATCCTTTGCAGGGACATGGATGAAGCTGGAAGCCATCATTCTCAGCAAACCAACACAGGAACAGAAAACCAAACACCTCATGTTCTCACTCGTAAGTGAGAATTGAATAATGAGAACACATGGACACAGGGAGAGGAACATCAAGCACTGGGGCCTGTTGGGGGGTAGGGGGCAAGGGGAGGGAAAACATTAGGACAAATACCTAATGCGTGCAGGACTTAAAACCTAGATGACTAGTTGATGGGTGCAGCAAACCACCATGGCACACGTATACCTATGTAACAAACCTGCATGTTCTGCACGTGTATCCCAGAACTTAAAGTAAAAAAAAAATTAAATAAAAAATTCTTCTAGTAGTCGAAAAATTTTATTTTATACTTTATAGATACATTTGCTTATTTCTTCCATCTGAAATGTATTTTTGTTGAGTAGTAGTTTGAAGATGCATCTTTTTTTTCTCTGGAGGATTTTTTTTAAATAACATGTATTCAAGGAACCATTTTTTTCTCACAGTTTTTCACTGGCACCTTTACCACATTCTAAGTTCCCATCTATATTTTAGCCTTTTTCTTGGTCCTATTTTTGTCTGATTAATCTGTTCATCTTTCCTGGTACCCGTAACATAGTACAGTGTGGCAATTTTACAATACATGTTAATATTTATAAGGGAAGTTTTATCCTAATGTCTCATCTTCTTAAACATTTCCCGGTTATTCTTGATATTTGTTCTTTCCCAAATTAGCTTTAGAATTTTTTGTCAGGTTACATGCACACACACACAACATTCATAAAAAAATACTGTTGGAAATTCTACTGATATTAACTTTATGTCAATTGAGGAAGAAGCGGCATTTTTACAATATTGAATCTTCTTTTATAAGACTCTACTGGCTCTTCATTTACTCGAGTCTTACTCGATGTCCTTCAGTGAGTTTCATGGTTTTCATCATATGAGTCCTATATAATTCCAATTACCTGTTATCTAAAGTATTTTATGGGGGTTTATAGTTACTATAAAAATTAGACTAATAAACCTAAAAAAGATTAGTTAATAGCTGATTACTGATTGACCAGTTATATCCATAAACTAATTATAAACGGTTAGCAAATAAGACTTGTGACATAAGATTTACACCTTTAATTTGGCTAAACAAGTCTAGACAATCCCCTGAACCCCGAACTGGCACAAATGGGTACATAGCAGGACCCTGGGAGCAGAGATCACATAGGGATCCCATCCAAGATGTGTTTTGACTTGCATATTTTAAAAATCTGAATTGTAAATTTAAAAATGTAAACTGTTA